GGATTTTATTGGGATTTTTTCTGGATTTTGGGGGGACTTTTTCATGATTTTATTGAGATTTTTTCAGGATTTTTGGGGGACTTTTAAAGGATTTTATTGGGATTTTTTCTGGATTTTTGGGGGACTTTTTCATTATTTTATTGAGATTTTTTCAGGATTTTGGGGGGATTTTTTCAGGATTTTTTTCAGGATTTTTGGGGGACTTTTAAAGGATTTTATTGGGATTTTTGGGATTTTTTTCAGGATTTTTGGGGGATTTTTTCAGGATTTTTTTCCAGGATTTTTTTTTTCAGGATTTTATCAGGATTTTTTTCGGATTTTCCCAATTTTCTGCTTTTTGGGATTTTTCCAGGCCCATTTCATGGAGGGGATTTTTTCAGGATTTTTTTCAGGATTTTATTGGGATTTTTTCCGGATTTTCCCAATTTTCTGCTTTTTGGGATTTTTCCAGGCCCATTTCATGGATCCGATCTCCTTCCCAGAGGCTCCGGCAGCCGTTCTGTGCGGGGGGCAGGATTGCGGGGGACATGGGGACAGGAATGGGGACACTGGGGACTTTGGGGACATCCTGGGGACATTGGGGACACTGGCGACATTCTGGGGACATTGGGGCTTAAATTCCCAAGGCTTGGAGAAGACGGAATTCCCACAGGGATGGATCTAGAATTCCCAAAATTTGAAGGAATTGCAATTCCCAAGACAAAATCCCACCAGAATCCCCCTGACCCAAAACCCCCCCCCGCCCAAATTCCCAAAAATCCCACAAAAAATCCCCTCAAATTCCAAAAAATCCCACAAAAAAATCCCCTCAAATTCCCAAAAATCCCACAAAACCCCTCCCCAAATTCCCAAAAATGCCACAAAAAACCCCCAAATTCCCCAAATCCCCCTCCCCAAATTCCCAAAAATCCCACAAACCCCCCGCGGGTGCCACCACTCTCCTTTATTTGGGGACCCGCCCCGGAATTCCCAAAGGAGGTGACACGGGAGGTGACACAGGGGGCGTGGCTCAGGAGGTGACAAAGGGGGCGTGGCTCAGGTGACAAAGGGGGCGTGGCATTGTGTCGAAGGGGGCGTGTCGCGGGCGGCAGGGGGCGTGGCCTCGCCGTCAGGAGAACTCCCGCACGAAGTCGCTGTAGAAGGCGCTGAGCTTCTCCAGGAGCAGCCGCAGCTTCTCCGTGGGCGGCAGGATGGTCATGCTGCGGGGAGGGGGGGGAAAGGTCGGGAATCCCCAAATTCCCAAATCCTCAAACCCCAAATCCCCAAATTCCCCATGTGATCCCCACATTCCCAATGTCCTAAACCCCAAATCCCCAAATTCCCCATTTCCTAAACCCCAAATAGCAAAACCCCAAATCCCCAAACCCAAAACCGCCCCATCCCAAATCCCTAAATCCCCAATCCCCAAATCCCCTGTTCCCCAATCCCCAAACCCCCAAATCCCGAAACCCAATCACCAAATCCCCAAACCGGGCATTTGAAGATTTGGGGATTTCGGATTTGGGATTTGGGGTTTGAGGATTTGGGGTTTGGGATTTGGGGATTTTGGATTTGGAGATTGGGGATGAGGGGATTTGGGGATTGGGGATTTGGGATTTTGGATTTGAGGTTTGGGGTTTGGTAATTTGGGATTTGGGGTTTGGCGTTTGGGGATTTGGGGATTGGGGATTTCAGAATTTGGAGTTTGGGGTTTGGGGATTGGGGAACAGAGGATTTGGGATTTGGGGATTTGGGGATTGGGGATTTAAGGATTTGGGATTTGAGGATTTCAGAATTTGGGGTTTGGGGATTTGTGGAATTGGGGATTTGGGGATTGGGTATTTGAGGATTTGGGGTTTGGGTATTTGGGATTTGGGGTTTGGGATTTGGGATTTGAGGATTTCAGAATTTGGGGTTTGAGGATTTCGGAATTTTGGGCTTGGGGATTTGGGGTTTGGGGTTTTGGGGATTTGGAGATTGGGGTTTGGAATGGGAGTTTTTGGGGATTTGGCGTTTGGGAATTTGGGGTGGGGGAACATGGAATTTGGGGATTGGGGGATTTGGGAATTTGGGATGGGGGGATTTGGGGATTTCAGAATTTGGGATGGGGGATTTGGGATTTGGGGTGGGGGAAACAGGGAATTGGGGATTTGGGATAGAGGACCGGGAATTTGGGATGGGATCTCCCAGGAACAGGGAATTTGGGATGGGAGGATTTGGGGATGTGGGATGGGAGGATTTGGGATTTGGGGCTTGGGGTTTGGGATGGGGGATTTGGGGTTTGGGGATTTGCAGTGGGAGGGTTTGAGGATTTGGGGTTTGGGGATTTGGGATTTGAGGTTTGGGGATTGGGGATTTGGGGATTTGGAGTTTGAGGATTTGGGGATTTGGGATAGAGGACAGGGAATTTGGGGTGGGAATCCCCAAGAACAGGGAATTTGGGGTGTGGGATGCTACCGGAAGTGGTAGGTGCCTTCCTTCTGTCCGAAGCCGCTCCCGGGGACGACGCAGATCCCGGTTTCCTCCAGGAGCCGCATGCAGAAGAACATGTCCGGGGCCTGCTTCTTCTCCTGGGAACGCGGCACGGAACGCCGGGGTCGGAAAACGGGGATCCCATCCCGCGGGGGGCCGAGGGCTCATCCCATAAACCCCACATGGATCGGGATCGATCCCGATGACCCCACATGGATTGGGATCGATCCCAGTGAGTCCCACATGGATCGGGATTGATCCCGATGATCCCACACAGATCGGGATCGATCCCGATGATCCCACATGGATTGGGATCGATCCCAGTGAGTCCCACATGGATCGGGATCGATCCCAATGATCCCACATGGATCGGGATCGATTCCGATGATCCCACATGGATTGGGATCGATCCCAGTGAGTCCCACATGGACTGGGATCGATCCCGATGAGTCCCACATGGATCGGGATCGATCCCGATGATCCCACATGGATTGGGATCGATCCCAATGAGTCCCACGTGGATTGGGATCCATCCTGATGATCCCACATGGATTGGGATCGATCCCGATGATCCCACATGGATTGGGATTGATCCCAGTGAGTCCCACATGGACTGGGATCGATCCCATCCATCCCAACACCTCCATGTTGGGATTCTGTCCGTCCCAGTTGGGATCCCGTCCATCCCCACATCTCCAGATGCGGATTCCGCCCACGCCCCGTTCCCGGTGCGGATCCCGTTCCCGTTCCCGGTGCAGATCCCACCCATGCCCTGTTCCCGGTGTGGATCCCGCCCCATTCCCGGTGTGGATCCCGCCCCATTCCCGGTGTGGATCCCGCCCGTTCCCAGTGTGGATCCTGCCCGTTCCCGGTGTGGATCCCGCCCGTTATTCCCGCTGTTCCCGTTGCGTCTCCTGTTCCCGTTCCCGTTGTTCCCGTTGTGTCTCCCGTTCCCGTTATTCCCGCTGTTCCCGGCATTCCCGGCGCGGTGCCCGGACCTTGGCGGCGGCCACGGCGCGGGGCGGCAGGTCGATGCGGGGGAAGGAGTACATGGCGCCCTGCACGGGGTTGCAGCGGATGCCGGGCGTGCGGTTGAACATCTCCTGCGTCAGCCGCGCCCGCTCCGCCAGCGCGCTCAGCACCGCCTCCTTCTCCTGCCGGGACACGCCGGGATTCTGAGCCACGGCTGGCCCCGTATCCCATACCCCATCCCGCTATCCCATATCCCATCCCGTTATCCCATATCCCCTCCCGCTATCCCATATCCCATCCTGCTATCCCATATCCCATCCCGCTATCCCATATCCCATCCTGCTATCCCATATCCCATCCCGCTATCCCAATCCACCATCCCACTATCCCATCCCCTTATCCCATATCCCATCCCGCTATCCTGTTATCCCATCCCGTTATCCCAATCCATTATCCCGTTATCCCATATCCCATCCCGTTATCCCAATCCATATCCCATCCCGTTACCTCGTTATCCCATTATCCCATCCCGTTATCCCACTATCCCATCCCGTTATCCCGTTATCCCATCCCGTTATCCCATCCCATTATCCCATCCCATTATCCCATCCCATTATCCCATCCCATTATCCCATCCCATTATCCCATCCCATTATCCCATCCCATTATCCCATCCCATTATCCCATCCCATTATCCCATCCCATTATCCCATCCCATTATCCCATCCCATTATCCCATCCCATTATCCCATCCCATTATCCCATCCCATTATCCCATCCCATTATCCCATCCCATTATCCCATCCCATTATCCCATCCCATTATCCC